AAACAGTCCCGTTGGGGAAGGGTAGGGGTGGGGGGTGCTTACTCCAACTTTTAATAATACGCCACAGCCGCGTCAGTTTCAAATGAAAATTCTGTCAAGAAGCGCAAGGGGATGTTTCGCATTGTGGGACACGCGCAACACGGGTACGCCGCCGGCTCCATTGTTTAACCCTTCTAATTATTCCAATTTTGGATTTTTCCTCGGAAGCCGCCGCCGCCCCCCATTGTGTGTGTAATGGTGGATCAATGCGTCTTTTGTAACAAAGACACCTTGTTTGCGACTCAAGTTCGCCCGCGGGGACGCTGTTAACACGCGGGGATCAAAACATCCCACGATAGCGGATTGGAAATATGTTTTATCTGCGAAAATAAGTAAATGTTTAAGTTTATTTTATGTTTTCAGACACCAAAAACACCATTCGGTAAAATTTATATATATTCATACCTAGACCTGGGACTGATTTAATTGTTAATTTTGTTGTTCTGCATTTGTGTGAGTGTATCCTTTAGTACGACAATTCCAGCAAAATCATCCGATTTTGAATAAATTCTGTAGAAACGTGTAAACCTTTGTCTATTCTCACGATTTGTGAACCAGCATGATCGGACTATAGAAACAGAGCCTTATTTAATAAAGTAAAAAGATTTTCCCCCACTTTTGACCTTTAAAACATAACATTTTGTAAATGCTTTCGCAATCATTTTTAAGAGCTTAAACCAAAAAATGTTCATATTGTAGGGAAATAAAAAAAAGAATAAATCAAACATGTTAAAAAGAAATATTTAGTGGAAATCCGTTCAGGCAAATTGAAATTCGCTTAGTCTGCAGGTATGCTGCGATGTGAGTACTGTTTTATTTGGGATTTTATTTTTATTTTTCTTTCTAGTGAATGTCCCATATAGGGAATAAGCTAATACCGGAGGTCTCGTGGTAAGACCTAGGCCCGCGGTCGATTTACTTTTTCGATTTGACAAATTATCCGATTTTGATGAAATTTGGTACAAAAGTGTAAACCTATTGTTTATTAGAACGAGTGAACCAGCATAATCGGACTATGGGAACGGGGGTTTATTGGGGGTTTATTGGGGGTTTTATGGTGAAAAAATTGATTTTTCCTATGTTGACCCTAAAAACACAAAATTTCATAATTTCTTTTCAAACCATTTTCTAGAGCTTAAAAAATAAATAATTTTGTTTATCAAAGCGTTTTTGTATGCCTAATGGTTACGGAATTATTTGAAACTATTGTAAATTTAAAAATGCCATGTTATTCTTATGGATAATAAATAAACTGTCGTACTTGCGGCTTGTTTATCTATATATTTTAATCAAATTTGTGAACTTTGTTTACTCCATACTAATCTTTCAACATTTTAATAAAAAAACACACACACACACCTGAATACCTTCCCTGTAGCAGTAAACCTAAGTACCCACTCAATTTTTAAGGAACATCTTAGTAGAAATCCAGCCAGGTAGATGGAAATTCGCTAAGTCTGCAGGATTGCTGTTGTATGATTTTTTTTTATTTCCAGTATATTGTACCAATGGGTGTTTTACGATTTGAATCATCTCGGGCAACAATCTCTACTATTGTACTAGCCGCATGGAAAATACATGCGATATGTATACACTAAAATAAAGTTGACCTAACAATGTATACACAATACACTGCTGTCGACAGCAATCAAACTTTCATCGCAGCTGTCAAATCTGTAAACCGTTCGTCTGAAGTCATAAACTCGTGCGTTTTATCGTTTAACAATTTTATCTGCTTTATTTTGTCAGGGAAAGGGAGGAGTCGTAAAACTACACGTGTGATAACTACGTTGTCGACGTTGTTATAGGGTGGATTATTAAAGTACGTTTAATTGTGTGCAGTTGCATTGAATAGAGCCTGTAATAGGCGCGACAGCTGTTGAAGCTTTTATGCGCGACATTTGTTACTTTATGCTTTTAATTATACTACTTTCCTAACAATCTGAATCCCTTATGCCAGCTGGTGTGGTTACTACAAGATTGCAGACGCGTTTTACTACGAGTCTGTGTTGTACAATTGAAACATTGCCTTTTACGTTTACGGTGTGATGTTTGGTGTTTCGAACGATATAAAACCTGGGACGTATATGAAGATTCAGCAATTTATACATCCACATTTGTTACATATTTTTAAATATCTATATTATACTTGCTGTGTTTAACTTTTGACACTATTATACGGTGAAAGTCACGAAAACCTTTCCGTTTTTCATTATTTAAGATACTTAAAGCATTTATATGTTTTAATCGTGCTTAAATTGGAAGAATTTACCGCTCGTTAACTCGTTATACATTGAGTAATTATTTATCTGTTCATAACTATGTATTAATACAGTTGTGAAAAATAAATTGTGGCTGATGATTAAGTAATTACTGTGATAAGTGAAGGCGTGGTAAAGTGGCGTAAAATGTCCTTGATTAAATAAAAATCATAAAGTTGCTATGGTTGTTGCACGATGACTACTTAACCTAGTAGTTTAAACTCCACTCAAATCTATAGGTTCACTTACCTTAAAGGCCAAGTGGATAGGAAATGACTTGACTACTAACCCTTATAACGTTCGTAACCTTGAAACGTTCGTTTCAATCAAGCACGATGGAAAAAAACCTAAAACAAACATAGCATCAAATTATCTCAAGTAATAAAAACCCCTTTGTAAAAGTAAAATTAGTTTTTTCCCTTCAATGAAGTTATTTAAACAATACTTACTAATACAACATTTAAAAGAATATACTTGTAACACATTTGGAATATTATTTTTAAAGTATATTATTAGACTGTAAGCCCTAAACTAAGATTTAGAAATATTTTAATATTTGTTCAACTAGGTATTTGGGGTTTGATTTTTTTCAACTATTTAAAAAACCAAATGACACATTAGAGATTTGTAATTCATCACTAATAAATAGATTAAAACATCAGAATGTGCGCACCACAGGCATTGACAATTATTTGAATGAGCGCCATTTGGCGCTCAAACAAGAATATACTTGTAACACATTTGGAATATTATTTTTAAAGTATAGTATTAGACTGTAAGCCCTAAACTAAGATTTAGATATATTTTAATATTTGTTCAACTAGGTATTTGGGGTTTGATTTTTTCAACTGTTTAAAAAACCAAATGACACATTAGAGATTTGTAATTCATCACTAATAAATAGATTAAAACATCAGAATGTGCGCACCACAGGCATTGACAATTATTTGAATGAGCGCCATTTGGCCAATTTTATACTCTTGTGGAATGTCTTACTCAGTCCCATCAATTGCTGGCTTGATAAAGAATCTGCTGACCAACTAAATCACATCAGAAATATAGTCTAATTTTGGATTGCCATTACCATATCGATGAACAGTAATAATTAAATATACTCTCCGATACATCTATCATGGTTACATTGTGGCAGTTGTACTTAAGGTCTGTTTGGTGAATTTCCGAACATTGTTCAACAGAACTACAACTTACACTTAGAACTTACTCCATTGACTATAACACCGAATATACTTCCCATGCAATGTAAAGATTTGAAATAAAAATACGTGAGATGGTTCTGAACTTCTTCTATTTTCTTGTCTTAAAATGTGTACATTACATGGGAGGTCTATTCTTTGTATAGTCAATAGTAAGACAGTACACGTACCTTTCAATCAGCACTGCAATATTGCAAACTATAGTATAGTTTTGACTCATCATCTATTATGGTCCAAAAACTAAAAGAAACAGAATACTTCAGATTATCATTCAACAAACTCTTCAAACAGCCTCCATACATACAGGAGTGTGACGGCTGGGAGGGAGCATGTTAAGCTAAAAGTACACATTACTATTCGATTTACAGTACAATTGTCACTGCTGCAGATGACAGAATCTTGTATTGATTATTAAATACAAAAACAGTGGGTAAAAAACACACAACTGCAAACGTTTTGTATAATCTAAACATCAATCAATTGTAGAACCAAACTACAATAGTTAACCACAGCAACTTCCATGCTTATACCAACACAGAAATAATCTTATTTGCACCTTCTTCAATAACTAAACGTTACCATAAAAAACAACCCTTGTATTATTTTAAAAACGAAAACCTCACGATAAACTACAAAACTAGCCAACCAAACTTACAGTCCTGTTTATACAGAATAAAATCAATATTTGTATAATTTTTACTAACTTCTATCCACAATTAGTTGCAAAACAAAATTCTTCTAATGATATGAACGCCCTTGGTAAATTTCAAGCAAACTACACACCTATAAAAAATGTACACCCATGCTTATGCAAGTAAAACTGATATTTGACTTTTTAATAGATCATTTTGTTTCTTAAACATGGAGCATATAATAGGTCAAAAACTATTGCAGCAATTTTTGACCAAAGTAAAAACCCGCTGTCCAAAGTTACACCCATTCTTATATCAGAGTAAAAGATATTTTTTATCCTTTTCGCTTAATGTACTCCCAGAACCAATAATAAATCAAAATCAACTAAACTTCCCTAGTAAATGTATAGCAAACAACATAACTGCTCAATTTAGTTTTTGCACCCTTAAACATATCAAATTGATATGAATGTTTTATTATTTTTACGTACCCTATCTCAAATTATCACAAGAAAATAAATGTTTTAAGTTTTCAAAAACATTACGTATTAATTTTCGAGCAAACTTCAAAATGTAAGTTTTACTTAACCAACCTGCACCTTGAAAAAAAAATTACAAAATAATCATTTCAAAACTTAAAAAGCCATCAATTTTCGAAAATTACTACAAAACTGCCCAACAAAATTTACAACAATTTTTATTCCGACTGAAATAGGTATAATAGAGGTGTATAGTCAATGGTATAGTTTTTGTTCTGTTTTATAACTTCTCCCTGATATATTATAATATCAATCAACAACCTGAACTCCTACAACCGATCTTGTAGCATACGACACAACCACATGTACACCCACGTCTACAGCATGCCGTGGTTGTGGCGCCGCGCCGGTTGCCCGGTTGCATGGTTGCTTTACATGGTTGCATGTCCAGCGACATGGCGGCCAGTCTTCGCCCCGCCTCCTTGGGCGGAGTCTACTAACGAGGTTACTTCATCATCTAACATTTCCTTAGGTCCATGCTAACAGTGGCGGCCGTGTCGGAATGCTGACCGAACTTGGTATAATTGTTTTTGTAATGATTTAACCCGTACACGCTGCAAGGTGCCGTAAAAAGACAACCGCTTCCAGATTAACCTCGGGCCCCCGGTGTAATAACCCTTTTATGTTTCCCGAGTCTGGTTTGGTCGATTGGTCCTAGACTTGTCGGTTTTCGTTGATTTGTTTGTGGGTTTTGAGAGATTTACTTGTACTTCTATGAGTAGGCCTATTAGTAAGTGTCCGTTGTCTTTGGTTCAGTCTTTAAGATTTATATTCATTATTTTGGTTTTGGTAATTCCAAAAAAGTTGACTTAAAAAATAGTTTTCCAGCCTAATACCGAACAGCACGTTTAATACGGTGTGTGTAGACAAAAAAGAATACAGAATAATTACTCTTTAACGTAAACTCGTTGAATTTATTTTCGAACTGCATTTTTCATGTGGATTATACCTAAATGCCATACTGGAATAATTGTACATACTCATGCAATGTATTCATTATTACAATGTTTAATACAAGTAATTGCAGATGCATTTATAATGCCGAGTACAAATTAAATTACGCATTTAAGAGACTTTACGCAGGTAACCCATCTCCTTATTCCAATATTCTATTAACCTAATAGAAATTACAGTTGCAATGTTAACATACGGCACCTAATTTCACATCAATATTTACGTCATAAACGAAATATAAGATTGAATTTCTGAGATTAGATTGGGTTAGAATAATACGACACTAACGCACAATAGTGTGAGTTTGTAGGGGGAAATGATTAAAGGATGGGTATTGAGATTATTGATTCGATACCCAATAAACTGAACAACTGTGATCATATTCAAACTGTCGAAAGTCAGGATCGAACCACATGATCTGATTAGTTAGCGAGCACTATATCCTCTAGTTATATAAAGAAGACTAGCTTTGTGTTCTACGGACAGGATCTTTTAGTCTGTTGAAACCATGAAACCTTCTTATAATCAGATTAAGAGTTGATTTGCATATGTAGTGTGCATTTTTCCAGACATGCAAACTTCGTATACAACACTGTTTCAGGGAATTGTTCCCGGTCATCAAAACTCAAGTTGAATTTGATACACAAACAGAATCTTCGGTTAACGACCTGAATGATGACTAGAAAATTAATTTAATTTACAGTTACAGTACAAATTATTGCACTTACGTTTTATTGAATCCGTTATGTGAGACACGACGTTATTAATCTCACTTGGTTTTGGGTTTTCTTACAAAACTTGATCGGAAATGGTTGCAGTATTTGTAAACAACATTTAATGTAAACATATCCAGTGACAGCTAAACAAATAATATTTATTCAAACAGCTGTTCGTTATTTCATAGATGTCGTATTCACCAAACAGATGATTAGTATTTTATAACTGACGTATGAGGTAAACATTGGAAGAAAACTTGACAAAATCACACAAAATTGGGGATTGAACGTCCGTTATTTTATTTAAAAAGTAGTGAGACCACATGTTAATGGCTAAATACACTCTCGCAAATCCAGTGAATACAAAAAGGCTATTTGAATCCCGATCGATACTTTCTTTTTTCAGGAGAAAGTCACGTAAAATGCCTTCTGGGCCGTGACGGACAGACAGGAATTGAGATAGACTTGTTTCGGCTTCTTTAATGTATACAACGTAAAAATAACTAAACAATATATAATTCTGAGCAATGTACAGACAAAACTCTAATTTTATCTATATAGACAATTTCAATATATAACCAATAATTTCTAGTGTTTGTGAACTACATGATTGCTAGAGTACGGTACGAGATTCGGCTTGTTCGACGCCGCGCCGTCGGCATATCACACCAGACCGGCATACTAATGTCTCATAGCTACAATATGCACATACTGCGCCCTACAAGCCCTTATTCCGCTCTTCTCCTCGCATACTAATCTCGCTGTGACGTATGAGCTGTTTACAGCACGACCACGGTTATTGCTGCCCTCAGCTATGTTTATTACGTGATAATTTCACTGAGGGTTGCCGGCGAATTGATGAAGGGAGAAAAGTGACACTAGAATTCTCTGGTGGTGCAAAAGTTGAAGTAACGGAAAAGGGTATTGACAGAATCTATATTATTAAAAGAATTTGTTGGATATTTGTGTGTAGCAAATTGACCCCTAAATATATATTTTTATAGGCATACTAGCTGGCCCGACAGACGTCGTCCGGTCCTAATGTGGTTTTCTGTTAATGCTCGTTCATTTTCAAGATGAGCTCGTTCGCATGGCTCAATCATATCCTGGTTGAAGTTCGTTCGCTACGCTCACTCACCTTTAGGTTGGAGCTCGATCGCTACGCTAACTCGCCTCCAGGTTGTAGTTCGTTCGCTACGCTCACTCACCTTATGGTTGCAAATTAGCTGTTGTCATAAATTTAAAAAAAATTAAAATAGTGCTGCAACCTGTTGGTAAACCTATTAACTTTTTAATTCTATTGAACATCACAGAAGCAAATTGTTTAGTTGACCCAGCTGTTAAGATTCTTTAATTCCATTTAAATATAAGTACTCATAAGGTTAACATGGGAAACTCCAGAGCCACTGGGGCGGAGCCCTTTTGACGGATCTGCACCAAACTTCACACAAACCATCCTTGAATAATGCTTAATAATGCCTGAAAGTTTCATTACAATCTGTCGAGCGGTTTCGGAGTCCATAAAGGGCAAACAAACATACATACAAACAAACATACATTGGATTATATATATATATATATATATAGATTGGGTATCAATTTACAGCTGTTATTTAGATGTGCCTTTTGTGGGTTTCAATGATATCCCGTGAAAGTCTTTCGTCCTATAGGCTTTCATAGTTTGTGCTGAATTCTGTTGTCAACCATCTGAACATTTTCATGTTTACATTTGTTTACATCAAAAAAATTGCCATGATGCAATTTTGTTTGCATCCATAAGAAAATGAGGTTATCTGTAGTTGGTGATGTTTCAATGAATTGAAGTAAAATGTTGTAATTTTATCTATATAAAATGTTAAGTAGAAAATTACTTACGTTAGACTAGCTGTTACCCAAGGGCTTCACCCCATTTTACTTCATAAGTATAATAAAACTCTTGATTAATGATTGGTCAAGTCAAGTTAAACTGAAATAAACAAAACAGAATACAGTAATACAAACAAATAATCACACCTGATTTCAACAAGGTTCAATTTAAAGAATAACAAACATATTAAAGTAAATGAAAAAATCAATAGTTATATTGAATTCAAGTTTTTATTAAGATAAATGTAAAACTGGACTGTTTACAAAAACAAATATTAATTATAATAAAATCAACGTATGTTAAGTATTTAGTTAGAAATAACTACTGACATTAATATAATGGAAAAGACCAGAAGGAAGAGTAGACACTAAACACTTCCCCCTAGAATGAGTCCCTCACTTGTTTAGATCAGTTTTCATCAAATATTGAAAGAGTTCCGGTAGTTTGAGCATTGATTGGTAGTTGTTTCAACTAAAGCGCTTTTAGAAAATCGTCACTCACCTTATTCTGAGCCAGTGACCTCATTCTACTCAGAAGCTGCGAGGGTTTTTGGTCCCCAAGTTCCATACCTGACAGAAGGGTTTGTATTTTCTTTGTGTCACATTCATCATACAAGGAAATTAATTTAGTTTTTATATCTATGTATTTGTTCTCTGCTGGTGGATCCGTGACAATCTCAGAGACTCGAGATAATCAGCGTCAACAGAACTTACCACCGTGTCGAACTTGGCTTGATCTGAGACAAATCGTCATCTTCGAAATCGAGCTTCAATTTGAACGAACCAAATTTTTGGGTTAGGTTTACAGAATTGAGAAACTTTTATAGACAAGTTGGCTATTTCTTGGGTAACCAAATCTTCATTAATGTTCATGTTGTCTTATAAGGGGTCACCAATAAAGTAAATGATATTAATAGTTGTATTGAATTCAAGTGTTTACTGAGATCAATGTAAAACTGAACTGTTTAACAATAATAAAATCAACATATGTAAAATATTAAGTTAGAAATAACTGACATTTAATGTGATGGTAAAGACCATAAGGAAGAGTAGGCATTACAATATAAGTACAGCTGAGGAATTTTTAACATTAGGTATACATATATGGAAAGTTCTCTTTAGAAAGGAATTACGACCTTAACGGACAATTTATGAAATAATGGATAGTTTTGAGCAAGATTTCTCATCATGACGAACATTTTAAGTATATGGATAATGGGGGTGTGACTTGTAGTTTTCTCAAAAGTTCATGGGTACTTTGGAATATTATGGATTCTATGTTGTGATAGCATTTTGTATTTTCATAGTACCTATGTTTTAAGGAATTCAATTAAAATATTGTAACTTAATGTTATTTGTTTTAAATGTTAATTTTTTTTTTAAATAAAGGTATTTTTATTTATTTATTACTATTCATGTTAAGAAGAAAATGACTTAAGTTAGGTTTTGTGTTGTCATAGTACCTATGTTACATTAGTTTGTAATTTTTCTAAGATGCCTCAAAGAGATCGGGTACGCAATGAAAATAATAGGGATATGATGAGAAATAATCGTTTTCAACCTTACTATACATCAAATACCGTATATCACGGATTTTAAAGTCACAAAGTGACGCAGGTTGAATCTTAATTAAAAATACAAATTTCGATAACTAAAAAAATATAATCTTAAAAGAACACCGCTTCATTTTAGTGTCAGATAATGTGGTGTAAACTATATACGGATCTTTTGTAAACTACGCAACTAGAACGACTAATAAAATGTGTGTAATACTGTATATTACCTATGTAGTTCTGTGCTACCGGCTTTCTTCGTGATGTGATTTTAATAGAGGAATTATTACAATATGATGGTTGTGAAACGGTATTATGATGAATCCACGATATCTGCAAGTGCAGATGAGACCAGTAGTAGTATAAAGACGTTATTGTTGCAAGGCTATCTAAACTGTGGCTTATACAGTGGTCCAGTCTCACTCAGGTCAGGGGTCACAGCTATCTTGGTCAGCTGACACCGTATACCAACCGAGATAAAATACCGTACTAACAATCAATGGATAGTGTAAAATGTGAAACTTGATACTCATCATCTACATGTATTGTTCGAACATATTCTCCAAAATTATGTACCACAATTTACATTGTATGTTAGGTATAATTAGTGCTTGGTTAAAAGGTAGAGAATAGAATATAATGTGTATTTTCACAACTTGGTTGAAAAGTTGGTTACAATTTTAATACAAATGTACTAATTAAATACTGATTATATACGCTTTATTGAGAACAAAAATAATGGAACCAGCTCTTCTAGTAAAATATTAGAAATGTTTAAAATATGTGTAATTTTATAGGATATGTAGCATACGCTTGAAGTACAGACACATCATCTAATCTATATACTTAATACAGTATAAGATTTTTCTGTTACATCCCTTTTCCAGCAAACTTAACCGATTTTTACGATTGAGGTTTAATTTTAAAACTAATGGTACAGCGCACCTGCGAATGATAATTTCTATTAGAGCTTCGCCTTCCTATAGTTTATTTTATTTCTGGAGTTCATTTTCAAAGATCCAGTGATGCTGATCAACTTTCTTCATAACGGTTTAAATGTGAATTGAATATAACAGCTGTTCCTTCAGTTAAATGTTTAACCACAGTCAGACTGTAAACAAAATACAAAATAGTTTGTGAACATAGAGACTATTTTGTGACTACTGTGATATGATTGAGGTAAGTAATCCACTCTTTATCCTGTAGATAAAAAAATAATTTGTATAGTAAATCATTAGGTATATTAACCTTATAACTGTTCCAAACAAACATAATCTTGAAAAGATAAATGAGTACTGCACTGGATGTATTTTGCATCTGAAAGAAGTTTTGGGCCCTAAAACTGTGCAATCTGCACACGGGACCCCTCGTATTTGTTTTATTCAAGGGATTATTGTAGTAATTTTTAATAAGGATAGGAGGATAGGTTAAACCAGGTTGAACATATTTCCATTCAGGATTTTGAGTTTTATTCCGTCTTCAGAAGATCTTGTTATGTTTATGAAATTGTCTACCTGAGAATGGGTTCAGATTCCAGACCATGAAACTTATAATACAGTATCCCGTGTATGAAACACAGATCATGTGCAGCAGTAGCAGTGCGGTGTTTTGTACAAAACATACTGTGAGAACTAATGTTAAAATTAGGCTGATAAAATAGAATATTATTGCACTCAAGTCCCAAAGCACAGAATGACCACAATGACTATTAGAAATACGTTAACACAATCATATAGAATCGCCGTTGCAGCAAAGAAGCCAAGCACAAATCCCAAAGTTAAACGAAGTGTTGCAACAAGACTATAAATCTAGCAGACGCGGAACAAACGGAACAAACAGATCGGGGTTGTTCCGGTCGCGTTGTTCTTCCCTTGTCGGGCTTACGGTGGCGTCTTTAATGAAGAATTTGCATGTTAACGAATGCAACACGACGCCATGATGTATCTGCAATTTGTACCCCCTCCACCCTACAGGACCGACTAATAAATTGCCTAATTTCCACGGATTTCTGTGTTCTTAACAAGACTTTTAGTTTAATCCACCCTGTGTAGGATATCTTAATTGCGGTTGTAAATCTACTACAAGGCCGACTTAAGTTGTTCCCCGGGAATTATGGGTGTTCCGGGCCTTTTCTGTGTTCACCTTCGTCACGGTGATACATAGTGTGTGCATCAACGATAAAAATTGCTTTTAACACATTACGTCATAAAAGTTTAGGCTACAGAAAAATCGTGATACAAGACAGGTTGTGAAACTGTTGATTCGTGGAGGGAAATGTAATTTTCGTTCATAAATATATTTGCAGAAAAAAATTTACCATAGAAATTCATATAGATGTGTGTTCTTCTTACATATTAAAACGTGGGCAAGTTTTGACGGGTTAATATGACTTAGTAGGCTATACTTAATATAATGCAGAAAGTTCTTTTTATTCTATAGTCTTGATAAATTTTTTTATAGTATATTTTGTGTTCAAAGTATGTATTTTGTTTCCTGTACATAATGTGGAAATAAACATACTTTTTCATTCATTCAAGTGTCTAGGTTGCTAAGTGGTTATAGTGCTCACCTTCAGGTCTGAAGGTCCCTGGTTCGATTCTATATCGTTACCAGACCCAGATACCATTGTTTTGGCTACTATGCTAGCAAATATTGAACAAAAGGTCGATGTTCGATGTTAACAAGACCAGGTTTTCGTGTCGTAACACTTCGGCCCAAGTAACACTTCGGCCCAGTAACATTTCGGCCCGAAACCCTCAGATGTGGCCTACGGTCCAACTCTCTACCTGCCCACTAGTTAACACTTCGTCCCAACAAAATATTTGACAGGTTAGGTTAGGTTAGGTTAGGTTAGGTAAGATTACACCGATTCTCCGTCATGTGAGGTCAGAGGATGCAAGCGGTGACGGTTGGGCGACATTCCACCAGAGGGTGGTTGCAAAGTATACAGGTCATGTACCTCTTACTACCTGAACTGCGTTCCTCAACCCTTGTCAATTTTTCGTCGGGCCGAAATGTTACTCCATTAGCTTATTTAATCATCTGTAAAAGCGAGTGGGACGAAGTGATACTGTTTTTCTAAGAAATTTGAGTTTGGCCGAAATGTTACTGGGCCGAAGTGTTACTACATCCCAGGTTTTGGACCAATCCTCTCCAAAAACGTTAAGAAATGTCAATGCGTATACAAATAAATAAAGTCATAGAAGTCATTATAGAGTCAAGGATAGTCTTAGAACCCGCTGTTCTGAATCAAAAACTGTTTTAAACGAATACATGTAGGAACGAAATATATGCGTAGGACAGGCTCACAGGAAGTTATTATATGAGTACATCGATGCTCACAGCTAGTATTTATCAATAACATGACAGTAACTAGGTATCGTCAAGTTTACGATTATTTCGAATTGATAAAGATAATTATAAATCGGCGTACAATTTTGCAGGTGTTTAAAAGTACAATATGTTCTGATTGGTAATTTGAATGAGCGAGAAAACATAACTTGAACACAGAATATACAAATATTTTTTTTTGCAGATTGCAGCAAAAAATATTAAATACTCAGTATGTTAATTTACAGTTATTGAAAACTACCTTTTCACCTAGTCACCAAATCAATATGAAATTTGGCCCTGAAGTATTCATAGGAGCCGAAAAGTTGTCCGGTTTTTGCTCAGGTCTTTTGACCCAGAAATTCGAAATTTGGAATTGTGGTTCTTATGTGGGGGGTTTTAGAGAAGGCAAAAATTTTCCGATTCGTGCGGCCCGACCTTAGTGGTGTTAACCTACACAAACTTAGGCAAACCTAACATAACCTACCCTTTCTGATGCACTATAGAGTGGGTGACAGTTTCGTTTAAGGTATAATTTAGTAACCTACTTACGTTACGTTTACACCAATGGCAATCTCAAACAGTTTTACCCACTTAGCAGATCACGTATTGTATTACCCCAGACACATAGCGGGGCGCCTGCCTATCATTGGCAGAGCTACCCCTAATGAACCTTCCTAATTAAGGCTTCGTTCTGGTTTTTATTGAACTATAAAAAGAGGGATTGTTCGTCGCCAAGACACGAAGCCAAAACTTCCCTTTGTTTTTGAAAAACGTCCAAAAAACCAACGCCCGACCCTCCTCTTCGCTGCTCACAGTGATTGCAATTAACTTTGCACAGATTAGGGATTTTTTGTACAAGAAAGCCTTTCATCGGAATCTAATTGGGCTCATTTTCAATTCTTTCGACTTCTTTTAAATTGGACGAGTTTAAAGAGAACTCTCATTCGCCAAGTTGAACAGAATAATCCACTAATTTGTTTAATGTTGATCACCGTTCAAGTTCTTTTGCCTCTCAAAGTAGCATTTCTTGTCTGAATGTCCCCAATAATTGGCTATTTCCTTTGAAACTAATTTTTTATCCCCGAGGATTAAGCGACTTAAATGTATTTAGTTTTTTCATGAGTCGATTGACGTCATATACATTCTTTAGCATTTAGGGGTTTCCTTCTTAATTTGTATTATGCTATTGTAAAAGTTACGCTGCCATAAAATAGTAGTTTTCGTTTCTAGTTCCTAAAGTAGGCTCTTTCGAGACGATATCGTAAGCCTAGTCCGGAAATTTGATTAAGTCACAAAAAAGAATTTAGGACGAGTTATATTTTTCATTACATTGTCAAAGCTACAATCCATTTTCACTTTCACTACTCCAAAATACAGTAACACTGAATGAATTAGGTTATGTAAGAAACAAAGTTTGTTTATATATTGTTGAAGGATTTTAATGGATCAGAACAGCTGATTTGTTTTGAGATAAGCTTTGACATAACCATATGATTCGAGTCCATAAAACTTTACGGACTAGTCCGCAAAAAGCTATCTTTAGGGACTCAAAATGATCCGTAAGACAGCTGTTTTTGAGACAGTGTGATGAAAATACAATTAACTAATGATTGAGCAAGAAAATTTGGTCTTAATTTAAATTTCTGTACTATTTGTGTGTCTTCCATTTACCCAATCTTGCCCCACCAGTATTCGTTTTACCTTTAGTTCCAAAGTTTTTTTTTTAATATAAAATTTTATATTATATTTAAAACGTTTGAAACTAAAATCAGATAAGCTCAAACTGGTATTTATCGAGCAGATTAGTAATTGCATATCTATCGGTTAGAACTAACTTGAGGCACCCACACGAAAGTTATTGAATGTAATTTTTTATATTTTATTTTTTAATTTTTTACATTCAATTATTTTGTAGGACAACCACTATAATTACGTTGCAGGAATAAACACGAATTAAATAATATGAGTTAGTTACTGCATTACTTAAATATAATCTCTGCATTGAATATACTCATTGGATTTACAATCCTTCTGCAGAAGACGGTTGGTTTTAAGATACTTTTGTTTTATGAACTTCTTATCATTTCTTCAAACCAAATAGGACAATATCCTTACATACATACTGCCCGGCCCCTCGTATTATTGTACAGTATAACCAAATGTATATTGCAGTACACATACAAAGTTCAATATTTTGAAGATTGTACAATAAGTTTTAAAACTTGACGTATTTACTCAATATATTGTACAATATGATTTTCACCTTCAATATAGCCGATACACGATCAATATTGTGCAATAAGATTAACCGTGTATGGGTTACCCTGAATCTTATACATTTACTTTACAATAACGAATTCACACATTTACCGGACATCAGATATATATCATCAAAGGTTTCATATTTTACCGGGAGTCTACTGGCAGTTTCAAAAGTCACCTTCTTATCCTAAACTTAGTGGTTGTTAAAACTAAAGGGAATTTTTTCTGAGGCAAATGTTCGGGAATTTTATTTCCAAATTTTTACTTCTACCAAAGCGAATCTTCAAAATTGGGTGATAACTGTAAAGAAGGTTACGATTCTACTACCGTATTGGTCAAGTATAGTTCCTCGTCGGGGTTCTTGTTAGACCGTAGGTGTCTAGCCAAATCATTAGTGGCTCTCTAGCGAAACTTAGAAGCAAGATAACTTTCGGCTATTTGACTCATTAATCCATGAACAGAGACATACAACACCCTGTGTAAACTGAGTCACGTGACAAGTGACCATGGGAGAGTGTCACATATTGAGAGCGAGACACATGACAAGTGACCATGGGAGAGTGTCACATATTGAGAGCGAGACACATGACAAGTGACCATGGGAGAGTGTCACATATTGAGAGCACAGTGTACACTTTCCGCACTACACTGAGTCACTTGAGTCACATGACAAGTGACCATGTGAGAGTGTCACATATTGAGAGCACAGTGTACACTTTCCGCACTACACTGAGTCACTTGAGTCACATGACAAGTGACCATGGGAGAGTGTCACATATTGAGAGGGCGACACGTCACGAGTGACGGGGTGAAGTAGGCAGTCAAGTGATGGAATAAGACGCATGGATTATTGACAACCAATGAGCAATGTCAGACAGCTTCAACCTTCCCCGACACCTGTCACAGGCTCTCATCGTTTCTGAAGGGTGGTGATTTTGGAAAATGCGAATTTAATGTGGTTTCTTTGTTTTTCAACATTTGCATTGCATCGTATGAAATACTCATATGATGACGTCAGTAAGGTGTTTTGCTACTTATTTTGCAATCCTGGGTACAAATCAGTTGGGTCCTTAAAGTTTTCTTTTTGACAAAGAGTGAAAACACTGAACTGTCGTGCACTTTACAGGGATGCGCCAAGTGCACTTCGTGGCAAAAAAAAACATTTGGCCTTTAATTGAATAAATTAAATAACGTTATCATAAATAAGTAAAAATAACAAGTTTAAGTCGAGACTTAGCGTTAATTTATCAAACCCGTTTATTCAATGGTGAGTCTTGCCCGTCGTCGTGCCTGCTATTGGCCAGCCACATTATTTCGTGTTAACTTTATGTATCCTTATTCGTGTGTAATAAAAGTTGTATTTTTGTGTATTGATTTCGACAATATGTTCAATTACGCAAGGCGGTAAGAGGCTTGAAAATAAATCAATTGTTCGATACTAGGCTAGTCACCCGATAAAAAATAAGGATTGACGTCGTAAGGGATGTAAACCTATTTAATATCCTCAACGTGTAGTTTCCAAAGTTTGTAGGCTACATTTTAATATCTCTAAATCCTATGGTTATTTAATTACAGATACATATAAACTTTAACTGGTAGGTACACATTTAAGTAGCTAACATAAACTCACAACCACTAATGAACTTAACGTCTTCTTCAAGTCACCTGAATTAGGCTTGAACCGGATCTAAGATGACCAATTCCGAACAACATGCACATTAGGTTTTAATTTGTTTTGCCCAGCGATCCCTTACGCAATCTGACTTCTCCATGTCACGCCGAACACAATGAATCTGCGATTTCACGGTGCAAACAAGTCGACACAACCGTGTAAACATTTAGTTATTAAAGGCGCGGACCCTCGCATTGCGCCCTCATTGCGCAAATATTGGCGCGGGATATGGCTCGGAAAGTTGCGCCAAATACGCGGAAAATGAGCAACTGATTGCACGGGGCAGCCCTGATCCCCGTCAATGTCTGCTGTGTCATAGGGGTTGTAGAATATGTCTACTGTTAGTTTTCGACTCTTGG